ATGGTTTTTCGCTTTCTTCGATAGTAAGAGCTTAGTCAGAAGTAAGAAGTGGTCCAAGGGCGTCTCCAGCGGAGGCCCAGGGGAGCATGCCGTTCCCTACATTAAAATTCTTAAAATCCATGAGCCTTTTATTAAAAAAAAATATGTTAAATAGGCAATTCTACCATCCTTCCCAAGAAAACTCGGCATGGAGCAGCCCTTGCAGTGGCTTGTGGCCCTGCAGATAAATTTTCATATGTATTTTAAGCATTTTCAACCTTCCAATTATAAGAGAGATCTTAAATTAGAACTTCACATAATGTGAAGTTGTGAATAAACCAATATGAATCACCTTGGTTAATTTCACAACTTGGGACTTCTAAACTGGAGACTCTACCCTTTGAAGGCTAAAAATTTCGAAATATAAGCAAAAGTAAAATTGTAAATGTCACCAAAAAAAAAAGAGAAAATTTCGACTTGTACTTGATGAATGATTTAAAAAACTGTCAGCGACTAGGTCCAGGAAAATGCAGCGACATTTTATTTTATTTTTGTATTGTAACAGTTATTTGTATTTAGTAAATTTTTTTATGTTTTGCATTATATTATATGAATTTCTGCATTATATTATATAAATTTTTTTTTAAACTTATTTTTATTTAATTTGGTCAAATAATGCAGGTAAATGAGTTGCAAATCCTAATCAGGTAAAAATTTTCGACATATCCAGATGTGAAATTGTTACCAGGATCCCCATTTTCGAGTTGCGAAGATACCCTTTATTTTATTATCCTGGTTATAAAAACTATTCTTTAGAAGTCGAATTTGTATAAACAAAATAAATCATTAAAAAAAAAGGAAAAACTGTTATAAAAAATATTTCTTTTATGTAAGTATTTGCATTCATGTTCCTTCATAGTTCTTTCCTTAAATGTCCCATAATAATATCCATAGATATTTCATGTAATTTCTAAAATATTATCCTTAATATTCATCGTGACGCCATGCGCGTGGCTGTCCTATTTTTGACACTGTTGATATCCTACCTTTTATTTTTTATACCATGGAGTTGCGCAATGTATAAACTGCAACATTGAGATCAAAAGTGCCGACGCAGAGTGAGCGAACTGATACTTTAGAGCTATAAACTGTGGTTCAACACTCTTGATTAAAACAAAATGTCGCAAAATTCAAATCTTGCGTTCATTTTGAAACACTCTTTCGTTTTTTTGACATATTTTATTTTTTAATGTTATCAATTCAACATAAACTGCGTTATAAAGTGACAAATACCATGGCAACCGAATGATAAATTATATTTTACGAAAAGATGTAAAAGCATTTCGGAGCGTAGGTCGAAAGCAGGTTACGGTAGTGTCAGCCTACAGTCTCATTTCAAAAACAAAGTTCAGTTAGTTGAAGTGTT